TTCCCTTGTTCTTTCTCTCTGTCACATGGTTTCCGTTGAAAAAAACCCTTTACCTCTTACCTCATTCAAGACGCCGTGGGAAATGTTACATGATGGGTTGGGTGCATGTTGGATGTACCATCTGAAGGTTCAGAGGCCGGCGCATGGAGAACACAGCTCCAATTTAAGCTAATATACAGAAATATATATATATATATATAAATATGTATAATTTTTTTTAATTAAGAAAAATCTTTGTACGGGTCTGTTCACAAAAAAGAAAAAAAGAAAAGAAAAATCACACAAACAAAATTGGGGTTGGAAAAAAGTAATGCTCTTTTGTTTGTTAGATTGATTTTTGCTTTGTTTTTATCATCTTTAAATGACATGGGGTTAAATGGGGATGTAATTGCTGGGCTTGAATTGAAGGGAGCCTGGAGTCCCAAATGCCAGCAGTCGTGTTGGATAATATTCAAGGCAACGCTTGTTCCTCTGTTCCATGCAGTCATCAAATGTGATGTTGAATACAGATCTGAACAGTCTCCTGTTTTTTAAAAAAAGCAAGTTTCTCACTTGTATGGCAGCAAAGGTAGGCTATAAAGCCTAATGAAATGTCAGAACAGAAGTTAAGTGGGATTTCCAGTGGTGTGGTGTACACAACTCTAGTGTAGAAACAGAACACATTATGCAAAATAAGCCCACATTTGCAGTTTTGCTTAATTATTCCATTTTTCTTAGCACAGCCTTCAGCTTTTCTTGATGTGGGAGTTAGATGTGTTTAAAGTGCAGAGGATGCACAGCCCAGCAGTATTCCGCCAGCTATTTCCCCGAGGAATACAACTGGGTCCATTGAAATAGTTTATCTTGGGAATATGCAGATGCAGAAGTTTTGCCTTGAAGGTGTGAGTTAATCTTGGGTTTCTTTGAGGGAGAACATTTTTTTGTCCAACGTAGAGGCTGGTGAGCCTTGCCTGAAATTATCCCCAAAGCCTCATATCCATGCAATAACAATTTGAAAAGCATCCAAAGATGAGGAACTTTATAGCCTGGTTGGCCAATTTCTTAGACTGGTGTGTTCTCATTGTACTTATGTCATAACATGCCATTTCCTATACACTTACATAACACGTGCACACAGCCTGTTAAAGGCTTAGGTTCCTTCATACTCAGTCTAGCTTTTCCAAAAAATAAAAAAGAAATGAAGTAGCCAGTTTACCCAGATCACCTTAACTCTGCCCCTTCTTGCTGCAACCCTCATTGTTCTGCCCCTCCCGACTTTCACCAATCACTTTTAAAACCTGTTTCAGTTCCATGAAACAGTCTTGCTATTCTTTGGCAAACAGTTCCCTTCTTACATTAAACTTCCCTGTGCAATAAAATGAGGTGAGTGTGTGTGTGTGTGTGTGTGAGAGAGAGAGAGAGAGAGAGAGGGGTTAATGTAAATTAGGCAAAGTCCTATACAGTACAGGTTCTCTGAGGAGGAAATCCTACTGAAATCACTGGATTTTCTTCAGAGTGGCCATGAAAATTCTTTTGCTAGGCCCTGATCCTATATCTTAAAGCTTTGAAGGAAAATACACTCTTGGGGCCTGAATCAAAGACTCATTCTATGGACATGAGTTTCTGCCTTATGGAAGCAGACCAGTGACCTGGGTAGTTCAGTATTCTCTACTTGGGCTGGCAGCAGTCCCCAAGGCTTCAGGCAATTTTCCCCAGCTCTGGAATGTAGGGTGGAGAGCAGTGGAGAGTATTCTGATTGTTTAGGTTCCTGGGGAATCCGAATCCTCATCAGAACAGAAGCTAGAGCCATATTTCTCATGAAAAGTTCATTTTCTGCTTTCTCATTCAGAGAGCGAAAGACATAGACCCTGATAATTGGAGATGCTAGGAACTAAATGTGGGACCTCTCTCATGTCATGCAAGTGCTCTGCCACTGAGGTTTATATAGCACTTCTCCACAAGAACACCTTTTGCTTAGTTCCAAGCTGGAGACTTTGACAGCTATAACTACTTTTGGTGGTGTAATTGGGTGATTTTAGACCATGGAAACAATTATCTTGAAGGGGCATTTGGTAAGGAATGTATTTCATTAAAACAGCAGGAATTGGCTTTGATCTGTAGGCACCTCTGTGCTGCCCTCCTTTTGCTGCATGAGCCCAGAGCTCTTTCCTATCCTGAGATCATCACTATTTAAGAGTTTTTTAAGCATGCCCAGTGTTAGTATAATCATCCAAAACATCATGCACAGTAATAAACCAGCTTCCCTCTTTTCTTGAAACTAGACCTTTTCATTCAATCATTACTTTTAGCCTACCGCATTATTCTTAGTTAAGATATGATGTGATTTTCCTTGATTTTAGCTTAGCATGTTGTATGAAACTTAACCACTATGGTTTTTAAACCATGGTTCATGGCCTAGCATGTTGTATGAATCCAGCCAGTTATGGTTTATTCAATAAACCATGGTTAAAACAAACCATGATTTAGCATGATGTGTGAACCCAGCCTTAATCTGCTGCTTTCCCACTATGCAAGACCCATTCTTAATCAGAGTTAAATCTGGATTCTTCCCTGTCATCACCATCAGGTTCCTGTAGCTTTTTACTCTGCTCTCTTTCCATGACTCTGTTCCACGGGTAATGTTCCAGGGGTCATACAGGAAAACAGTTCTTCTGCAGAAGTGAGTAGTTAGGAACCAGCTGTGTGGCCAGGAAAGAGTTACAGCAAAATGAGCCACTTCAGTGAGCTGAATCTCTATTTATAAACTGGAGCATTAGTATCCATTTGTCACTCCCACCCCCTTGTAACTCCTGCATTGTCCTTCGACTTTATGCAGACATATGAAGCGGTCATGTACTGATCCAGACTATTAAAACAGCAATATGCTCTGCCAGGATTTCAGGCAGAAGTCTTTTTCTACCTAACAGTTTTCCAATTCAACCTGTATTTTACAAGTCCATTTGTTATTACTGCAATAGTATTTCAGCACCCCACCCACCCAGTGTCCATGGCTCGGCTGGCATACAGCTATTGTAAAGAAAGAAAAGAACCACTTCATAAATGTCTATGCATTTCAGAGATTTGGCTTGAAATCAGATCTCTCAGATGTGTATTCTCTAACTGGAATGTTGAATAAACTTCAGAAAGGGAAAAGCCATTCAGAATTATCCACGTAATCAGGAGTTGAACTCTCAGCTCAAGGTACTCTTTATCTTTTTATACTCTATTTATTCATTCCAAACTGAAGAGATTTTAATGCATCCCAGATACTACGGAATGTGGCATAAGCCATTTACTGACCAACTAGTAACTTATTCATATTTCATTCGGGGAAAGAGACAGCTTTCACTAATGTATCTGCACCACACAAAGCTGGTTAGTATTCCCAACCCATTCTTACCCATTTCAGAAGTTGAGATGCTTTGCTAGGGAAACATGGGGGACATTGACCAGGTATGTTATTTCTAAGCCTCAAGCATGTTTATTAGCTGATGGCTTCTATACTGATGGTTTTCTATTATGAATGAGCTGCTATTGAGTTGAATTTGAATACAATCTCATGCATAACGTTTTTACTGAGTCAGTTGACATGTTCAGTAATTCTTAGGATGACTCCATGTGCGAAACTGTCCTTGGATCGGAGATGAATGCAGTAGCTGCAAGAGTTGCGTGTGGCTTGAGGGAGATTTGGGGTCTTAAAATGTACACACACATGCACCACACACAGTCAGTTCAGATGAAAAAGGAGTTTGAAACAAAATAAATCCAGCTAGATCAGAAATGAATGCATGTATAAAAGATAGAGTTGTATTATTGGATTGATCAGCTAAAAAATCAAAAAGCCAGCATAAGGGTGGGCCCAAGAAATCAGGTGGCCGTTTGAAATCCTCTTTTTAAAAGGTGTACTCCTTTTTGTTCACTTAAGATGGGATGCTTGTCCTAAGGTGGCACCTACTACAAACATGGCCAATATACAATATATTTCTGCATCTTCCTTCAGAAATGGTGCATTTGGGGCCATTGTGCTTCTTACACAGAGGGTCTGCCTGTGTAGAGCAGCATTTTGGAAATTTCTAGAGCTTTCCAGAGTGCTCTGCCCACTGTATTTAGGCCAAGAAATCCTGCACAACTAGGCAGGAAGAATGCCTTTTTCTGAGGAATTTTTCAGTTGCTGCTTTTTTCAGCAATCAACCCTCAGCCATTTTGCTGCCAATTTTTAAATGTTCTCCAAAGAAAATCAGATTGAAATTATTAATTGGCTGAAACATCTGGGTTGATTCTAAAGCTGCTGTGCTCAGCTTCCGTTTCTTTAATTGAGTTGAAGCCAAAAGTATTGTAGAGAAGAACCCAAATAATGATGCTTTTTCAGGTCACCTTTTAACTCTGATAAACCCGTCTGTCTTCAGCCTTAATTTCCTAGCATCTGGAGAGGAGTGTGCTCCAGTTGTCTATACTTGCATTGCATCGAAATGAGGGGCTGTTTGCTTTAAACACACAGATGCAGAAAAGCAAGATTCCTGAAGCCAAGGGTTCTGCAGAATCATTTACAGTGTTTGGAGGGTCCCGTCTTTTATTTCTTCTTATTTTCAGTTAGAGCGAGAATAAGCAATACATAAAAAATAAAAAGTTGATACTGAAGTAAAATAATGATTTTTAAGAGCTGCTTCCCCAGCCCGCCTGCCAAAAAATGTTCCAGTGTATTTGGCGTTGTTGCCTCAAGTCAGCCTCCTCTATTCTCTTTTCCTTCCCCCCCCTTCTCTCCCCATAGATCAAGGATTCCCAGCTGGACAGTCTCATACTGAAAGACAAGCATTATCCTCTAGCGCTAGTCCTTGCCTTACTACTCTCACGCCACCAGCCAGCCTTTCAAGTTCTTAACCCACCTTCTGCCACATAATTGTTTAAAAAAAAACACAAAAACTGGAGATTAATGCCATTTATTTTGGTAAGAGAGAAATGAACCATAGGTAGTCCTCATTTAGTGACCACAATTGGAACCAGCAACTCGGTCATTAAGTGAAGCAGTTGGTAAGTGCAACCGTGATTGTGCTTACCAACTTACTTCAGCTTTCCTTTGCTTTATAGAGTTGTGAAGGTCATAAATGCAGGCATTGGTCGCAAAGTTACTTTTTCATCACCATTATAACTGAATGGTCACTAAACGAGGCAGTCGCTAAACAAGGACTACCTGTATACTTCTGCTGTCTGTAGAAGTGCCATCTGAGGGTCTGCAGAAAGCCTGGATCTCTTTGCTGTCCTACCACTTATAATCCTCCCTGTGAGGCTGAAAAGGTTTGCTTGGGTAACTAATTTGCATTCTACAACTTACCCCTTAACCCTCCCAGAAGCCCAAAAAACAGATCTCAAACAATCATCCTTTCAATATCTTGTTCCCAAACCCCGGCTTCATTTAGAAATAAAACCCTTCCTCCCTTTTCTTAGTTTTTGAGGGGTTTGACTTGAGTTTAAGGAGTGTGGGTGCAGCATCCTCTTTGGCAGCCCAGAGCCCCAACGGATTTTTATTTTTTTTATTTGGGCAGCACAAGAAAAATGAATGCCATCCATACCCATGTTGTTCTGAACTTTTTGTAGATGGAGCGAAGGCGCAGGCCATGAAACAGTTTAGGCAAGAGACCCTGCCGAGGCCAGAGCTAGTCGCACGTATTCTTTATCTCAGAGGATACATTATTCTGACTCTTGGTGGCATTCATACATAGCCGTCCTCCTGGTATATGAGAAAGATACACTCTGGTTTATGGTGAGCCCAGATGTGTCCGTAACGACTTATCAGCATTGACTAGTGTCTGAATGTGTACGTTTTACATATAATAATGAAAGTGTGGAACTTGTGAGTCTGCCGTGTAAATCACCTCAGGTATATGGGTGTCAAATCTTGTGATTTTGAATTACGAGACTCTTTCCATATGTATTTTAACATTCTAAGAGGTACAAACATACCTAGTACAAATTTGCCTCTTTATTGGAAAGAGGGTCCCTATCCATACACACATGCCAGTGTCCCTGTGCTTCCAGCGTGCCTGTTTTGTATTCCCTGTTTATAGACAGGGTTGTCCTCTCCCATAATAAGAATATCATATGCCTGCTGTGCCCGGCTGAATATCCCTGAAAGTTAGAGGTGCTGAGCCATTGTCTGTTCTGTGGGTTCGAAGCTGCTCTGCCGAGTATTTGTGGCAGAGTTGAGGTATATCTATGTGTAGGTATATGTGTTTCTGTGTGTTTGCAGAAATTTTCCTTCTCCCCACCATAACCTCACCCCGCTTTCCTCATTCTTGTTTGTTCTGTCCTTTGTCCTCACTTCACTGATGCCTCGTGTTCCCCATCTTGTCAGGGGAGCTGAAGCACCATTCAGGCCTCAGCGCTGCCCCATCTCGACCCCAATTGTCTACACTCATCTTTCTAGAAGCCTTAATAATACTCTGTAAGTTGCCAGCAAGGACACACTTTCACACATCAAGCAGTGTACAGTCTGTTCTGCATTTGTAACTCTGTAAATATTTTATATATAACCTGAATTAGAAACTAGTTCTGCCTTGGGAAGGTGTGACTGGAACATCTTATGTTTGAAGTCTACAAACCATGTGAAGATGCCCCTGATTATCAGGAAGGGAGGGGGCAGGATATTAATTCCTCATTGCCTTATACCAAATAGTACAGCCTCTGTAAAATAGTGTTTTGGTACTTTCCTTCACTAATTTCCGACACATACTGAACTGCGAGATGTAAGATGGGCTTTATAGTCCTGAGAAAATGGTCACAAATGGTATGACCTTGGATGAAGGAGCTTGAACATATGTGTGTGTATATATGTATGTGTAGTAGAACTGAAAAGGAGCAACTTCTACACACCACCTGAAATGAGCGGGGCTGCTCCTTCATTTCAGTGGGCTTGTGCAGAACTTCCTGCTTGACTTCATCTATAGCATATGTATGTATAAATATAGTTCTTTCAACTGTGCACAGATATCCTATGCATACAAAATGTAAACCCCATCTGCACTTTGCACAAGTTTGTTTCACATTCATGCACAGCCACAGCCTCCTGCCAGTCTCTCAAATGGTAGGCAGGGTAGGGGGAGAGAGAAATGTCCGCCATTCATTTTATAGTTTATTTGACTTGGCTAATTATACACTACTTTAGTTAATGGGGTTCATTGTCCCTGTGAGGCTCTGAAAGGAGTGAGAGATGGTCCTGCCCAATTAGAAACATTTGTGTGATTTCAGCCGACCACCCAGTGCTGTCACTGTAGAATTATCCCTGGGCCCTTCAGTGTTCTTGCCTAGCAGGCTGAAGTCATCTGGCTAAGCTCTGTATTCCCTTAAATGATTTGAGAATCTGGGTTCTTAGTTTCTTTTCTTAAGATGGAAAGCCAACTGGAGGTATTTAAAATTAAGGATTTTCCACCTTTTGAGACCATGAGACTTTGGATGATGATCTGGTTGACACTCCTGTGATAGTTGCTTGTTAGGTAGCAATGAAGGTTAGTGTGTGAATGAACTAGCACAGATTATCACTTCAGCTAGAATTTACAACACTAGATTAATTCAGACTTTCTCTGTAGTTTCAATTCACACCTTTGGAGTATGATCAAGTAATAGCACGAGTTTGTAAAACAGCCAGCTTCATTTGGTTGTATCTTACAAAGAAGAGGCAAGAGCACTACCCCCCTTTCACGGGGATTACTTAGCTGGTAAGACCGTGACATTATAGCCAAAGTAAACCTTTCCAGCCTGGCCAACACCTCTGCATCAGCTATGAAGAATGAATGCATTTCACACCCCCTTACGCTTTTAAAATGGTAAACATCTTTTTAGGATCAATCCGTGTATATCACCCACAACCCTTTCTTCCCTCCATCACCAGCACACACTCAACACCACCTCTGAAGGGGATCTGAAATAGTTTTGGCATATAGACTTTGAAAGCAAAAAGGTAGAATCTTTACTTTTTTTTCCTTTGTACCAGAGATTTATATATGCAAGACACTCTTTTCGCAGGAAAGCTGCTAATGGAGAAAGGAAGCCTCTGACCTTACTCCTGTGTGCCCATTTTCCTGTAGAGGGCACTGTGCCCCATCTTATGACAACAGGGGCAGGAGGATACATAGGCTGCTGTCTAGGTTGTAACTTAAAGCGATGTGAAGATCTCAGGATGTGAATCCCTCCAATGATGCTTCGCCACCTCAGGTGTCACTCTCCCCATCATGCCATGCTCTCGTTTTGCCCAAAGTTCAGTGCAAGGAAAACAGTATCTCCCCCACCTCTTTTGTATGCCATGCCATCTCTGTGGGGGTGGAAACTACCCTTCCTGGAGAAGCAAAATCCTTTGCAACCTGTAGTAGGAGTTGCTTCTTGGGGGCACGGTACTCCAAAGTCCCTTCCTCCATCCCTGTGGGGCATTTAATGACTGAGATCATTTGTGGGTAGGAAGCAGATTTTTTCACATTATAGGACTATTCATATCTTTGGGGGGGAGAGAGATTATTCCCACACCTCTTCTCAGTATTTCTTTGCCAAGTACATACCTCATATAGTTCCTGTAAATGGTATCCCACAGATCTCTTCTTCACCACCACCCCAGCCGGTCGGTCTTTCTGAAAGGGTTTTGATTTTGGATCCAGATCATCAAAGATTATGGGAGAATAGAAAGGAGTTTCCAATAAGGGGGCAACTTTATACTTTATACTTAAACCCCAATATACTATGCATTGTGGTTTTCCCCTCGCAGTCCAGAGCAGGGAAAGAAACTGTGAGCAGGGAGTTAGTGAATGTACATTTGGGAGATGGGGTTTTCAGTATGTTTCTGAAGGGGGGGTTGGGTTGGGGGGGTTCAGAGGGAAGGAAAAACCAGGTGGGGAAATTATTCCCTCTGCCTCACCCTTTTCCCCTCTCTCCCTTCCTGTCTCTTTTTTTCTGTTTCTTTTTCTTCCTTTTCCTCCTTTTCCTTTTTTTTTTTTTTTGCATCTGGGAAGCAGGAAGCTGCTGATGTAAAAAATACGACAATCACAATTTGTCTGTGACGTGCGATTTTGAAAAAAAAAATAACCCTGAAAAGTCTGGGGCGGGGAAAAAAATAACCCTTTTTGTGTTTTTGGTCAGGATTTTAAAGAAAGATATTTTTATGGTAATTGTTGCTGGTCTATTTTACTATATATTTATGTAATAAATATATGATTAAAAAACAAACAAACCTACCCTTAAACAAAGACAAAAAAACCTCACAGCCCCAACTGGCTTTGGTGTCTCATTTCTGGTGAATGGTGGCTAGTATAACATCCTTTCTTTAACTGCCAAAACCAAGTGAGGGGTTGGGCTGAAATCTGTTCTACAGGTAGTGTGAACCTTGTTCTCTTCTACCATTTTACTCATCAAGCCTCCCTTAATGTGTAAAACCTCAGTTGCACCACACGCAAAAGGTTTGCCAAGCATTCAGGCCATGGGGGAAGAGGCCGGCTGCAGGAAAGGAACACCTCAGTTGCCTCCTTTTATTTAAAATTAGTCTGGGGATGGGTGATTATTTTTCCTTTTTTTTTTTTGCTAGACAAAAAGTATTTTAAAGAAGGGGATCTGGTTGTTTCCCTTGCAACTCAACTAACATGGGATATGATTTCAAAGCTGGTTTGCCTGGAAGTGGCATCTATTGCAAAGGGAATACAGGTCTCCCACACCAGAAGGGAAAACGTTTTCTAAACCTCTTTTATCTTAAACCTCAAAGGAATCCATAAGGCAGGTGAGCCTGTTCACCCATCACTAGTTTCTGCAGGACTTCAGATGACACCTCCCTAGAGAAAATAAGTGGGGCTCCAGTTGCCCGCCTGGGTCTAAGGCCTGCTTTCCTTCTGGCAGGAGGCAGAAGGATCACGCCACATCCGGTCCTGATCCCCACAGTAGTTTCAACTTGGGAAAGAGCACTTCCAAGAGCAAGAGGTGAATAAATGAGGAAGAAGGCCATCCAGACAGTTTGCTTTCAATGTATTTTTCTCCTGTAGTTGGCACCACGGCCGAGAAGAGGGACATTCTCTTCACACAGTTCCAATATACACAGATCTATTTACAAAAGCGGTTGTGCTGTTTCTGAGCAGGCAGGAGTAGCAGCTGCTACACCCACATAAATAGAAAGCCAGGTCTAGGCCCCAAATAGTCTGGTTAGTGCAACGACCCAAGGAGAATTGGTCAGGAGCCTGGGCTCACCGCATTTCTGCCCACTCTCTCCTCTACTGTGCATCAATGCGGAAGGAGAGCAGTTTTTCAGAGTGCATGTTGTTGAGGGTACGCAGGTCAGGCAGTTTCAAGAGCAGCTTAGTAAAGCGGGACGTTTCCTGGGGGTGATTCTTGAGGATGAGGGCTCGCAACGCCCGGATCAGTGTTTCCTGTAGCTGCTCCACCGAGGCTGGGTTCTCAATGCCCGAGCGATCTGCACAGAGAGGGGCAGACAGTAAGTACTGTGGCACAGCAGCCTAGGCTACAAAGGAAGATGCTGTGGCCTGGACTCTGGGTTTATGTATCAGAAATGTCCAGCCTCCCTCCAGGTCACAAGTGTGCCCAATTGTAAGACAGAATCGTGCCAGAGATGATATGCAAATCGCAATGCTTGAAACATAGCTGCTTGTTATTTCTAAAGAACCGTCACTGTGCATCTTACTTCACAGCAAATGAAGGTCATGTCCCCAAGGACATAACACTGCTAAGGTTTAACAATGAAGGGAGAGGTTATGGTATCAAAGAGGTGTATGGAGATTTGCAGTTACACCTACAAGGTTTGTAGTATTTGGAGGGTATGGGCTAAACGAAAAGACTTGCACAAGGGGCCTGGGGGATTATATTTGGGTAGTGAAGAATCACAGATTTGGAGGTATGAAAGCCATGGGCGAGGTCAGCAAACCAATGGGAACAAACTCTGCTGGGCAAAGAATGCAATCAAAAAGTGTGTATGCTAGGACTGGGATTCCCATCAATCTAGGTCAATGGGTACTCACCTGCAGAGATCAGCACTACTGCTGTGAAGAGGCCCAGTTCTTCTTCAGATAGTTGCAAGGCACTAAGCTTCTCACTGAATTCAAACATGGATGTCAGCAGGTCACCCATGCCCATCCCCCACAACTCTTCAAGGCTGTACTTGGTACGACTCATGAATGTTACCGTCTGTTCCTTGACGTTGAAAAGGGAGGCAAACCGAACCATTAGCACCTGGGGTCGGAGAGAAAAAATAAAGAGCTATCAGAACCTAAGTCTGCTTCCACAAAACTCTGTCAAACGCATTTTTTATTTTCTCAAAACTTAGGAAGGATGACTATAATTACTCCATTTAATGCTTCTCATGCCATGGCAGCAACTTCAGACTCATACTATAAAATGCAGAATCTACTGGATTATTCACTTGACGTCCTTCACTTAGATAAGAAGTCCATCAATGTGGGTATATAAGAAGAAGAATGGAGGCTTACACACATACAGCTTAATTTCACAATGGTCATGATTCAATGTTGTGCTGTTTCCATGCAAACGCTACAAGTTTTGGGATCTATCCCACCACTTTACAATACTGGTATTTCCTGCCAAGAATCTTCCAAGATACTGCCAAAGCCAGTGGACTTAGAGTGCAATAAAAACTCTCCGTTTGATACCATAGCGTAGACTTGAGATATATGGCAACCCCACAGGCTAAAGCATGGGATTATGTTTAGCTTTCTCCATTACTATGTTCATAGATTTCCGCATTCCCAGTAAAACACATCTGCATGTTGACACAAACCATGATGGTTGCTTAATTTTATTTTGAAGGAGATGAAGTTTGACTAACTTCAGTAAACTGTCTTAACATGGAAAACATTTACCATCAGGACCAGTGGCATCCATAGGAACTCACTGTTTTTACTGGAATGGCAAAGATCGTGTGCCACAAATGGCACCCATTTTGGGTATCGGTGCAATGTGATAGCTTTTGATGCTGCTGAGATCAGTGAGAAACACACAAAACATCCCATGCCCTGCAGACACTGCTGGTCGTGATTAACCCTAACCCTAAGGATTAAAAAAATACCATGCAAGGCCTTTTCTCCAATATTAGTTTGCAAAAATAATAAACTCTCAAGTTAGACTGCAATTCTGTGCATAAACAAACATACTTAGGATCAAAGTGCAAGTTGGCTGTTTTTTTCTTTCACAGATCCCAAAGAAAAATTATTTGTCAGAATTTCAGAGCAAATTATTTTCCTGGTTTTTAAAGCACTTGCTTTGCTCTGGGTGCGGTTGGATTCCAGCCTCCCAACATCCTTTTAATTACTTCTAATTCATTTATATTTGAAAGAGAAGCCAACAAAAAATGTCCTTTTGTTGCATTCTCAGTATTAAAAGAAAAAAAAAAGATAACATAAAGATGGAAATTTGTGATGGGATTTTAAAAACAACCTTGCCGCCCACGGTGTTTGCTTTGCAGTGTTTACAAATACGAAGTAGGTTTTTGCGAACAATTGCTTCCCTGCATAGAATATCAATAGCTTGTGACTAAGGAGGACCTTACATCATAGGTGGAAATTTTCCTACCTCAAATGTGCCAGCTTTGAGTAGTGAGACTTGGTCGTGTTGTGACAGCTCCTGGAACCCTGGAATGTGTTTGGCAAATTCCACAACTTCTCGTACAGCTGGTGCAAAGCTCAGTGAGAAATCCTCCCAAATCTCCTGGACTGTGCGGCCACTATACCCATGAGGATGACAATTCATTGGGCACGCCTGTTAGGAGGGGAAACAGTCATGTAAGGACAAACAAGGGTATGGATTAAAGCAGGTGGAACTAGGTAAGCCTGCACAAAAGCTTCTAAGCACCTGTTTTTGGCTGTGTGCTTACATTTCCCCACCTCTAAGAAATAAAGTTTTTCTTTCCTACCTGCTAATCATGATGTACTTTCTTAAATAATATTTTTAGGAAGCTTTAATTTCCCTACTACCCATGTTTCTTTTAAAAAATCATGAAAACCATAGTGAAATACTGAGGATATACAATGTACATGTCCCTTCCATTTCACACATTTAGTTGCGAAAGGCATGTTCTGTCTCCTGCCAATATTTTTTAGTCTGCACCAGTATTTTTGGCAGGTATCTCCTATATAATGGCAACCTCTGATTGCAGACCAAAGATTATCAGTGGGGCAAATTCTGTGACCTTTGCTCGGACAGAGGGCAAAAGGCTCTGAGAGATTACTGAATGCTACTCCACATGGTGGGCATTATTTTTTACTCCAACAAATATTCTTAGCTATTATTTGCTGATGGATGCACAGTAGTTTATGGAATATAAGAAAAGAAAACCTGCAGAACAAACTTTTAGTACAGAATGGAAAATAAACACTCTGTCTTAGGTAAATAAACAGCAAGCTCTTTTCCTAGGGCACCAGCAGAACACCTAATCCAATTTTAATAAATAACAAGTCTCAGGAAGTCAAAAAGAGTGGCGACAAAAATACATTCAAATCACATGTTGAATAATTAACCAAATAGCTAAGATAAACCTAACTGTCTTGGTTTGAACTCCATTCATATCCCAGGGAAGCACATGATTTTCCAGACACATTAAACCCAACCAGCTGCAGGAGGATGTTCCTCATCAGAAGGACAACACTTTAGCAACAACCGACTTGGAAAGGCAAATGGGAAGTTCCGTGGCAATGTGACACTTACCAGGAGTACATCTCTGGTTTCGCCTTGCCTAAGGGAGAGGTCTGTTTCCCCAGAGGGACAAAACCTATGTCCATTGATGTTGTTCTGGTGACAAGCAGGACTGGAGGCAGAGCCAGTGTTCCAATTGTCATTTTGATGATGCAGCCCACTGGTGCAGTAGCCATTAATCAACCAGTTGTTGTCCCAACTTGGAGAACTGTTACTCCCTGTGGGTGGCTGGGGCCCTGTGGCCAGTTTGTCATGGGCATAAACAAAAATCTCTTTGTGGGCTTTAGCCACTTGTGCAATGACATCCTCCATGACATCTCCAGGGCTTGGGGATCGTGGGGGTGTCAGCTGCTGAGAAAACTGGGAGAAGCAAGGAGATGTCTGGGGTGGGGAAGGTGCACGAGAAGGTGGGGAAGAAGGTGCCAGTTGAGATTGGTGGCCCAGTAAGAGGGTAGTAGACTGTGCATGTCCTGTTGGTAAGTTCTCAGGGAGGCACTGTGCATTCAGTTGGTTGTTAGCCATGTTGTTCATCGCACTCTGCATCTCAGCCAGCATCCGTTGCTTCTCACGCTTGGGGATGCGCCCAAATCGTACAGCTGCACAGGAGACAGAAAAAAGATGACATTACATGAAGTATTCCTGTGGAATCCAAGGATCAACATAAGTCTAAAAAACCTGCAATCTAATCCATGGCTTTTCTTAGCAGCAAAAGAATCTTCTAAAACACCCAGAAAGTAAAACAGAGATGGGGGTAAGCTTCATCTTAAAAGACTTTCCACTGATGGAGTCCAGGAAAGAACCTGTTTGCCTTGTGCCCCTACATCACACTTTTCCTTTCAGTGACAAAGGAAACAGGAAACAGCAGCAGGATAAACTGCTCAGTGGAAGTTTGGAGGTGCTAGAATAGAGCACCTGGGGAGGCAGTGAACACTCGAAGTGGGAGTGCCAGTGAGGTAGAGTTAAGGTCAAGCCTGACTCTTGGGGATTTCACACACCCATATAGAGTCACTCAGAATTGGATGGCTTATAAATAATCATCATAACAGTGCAAAGTGGCTTACCATTACTTCCTTTCTATTTTCTCAATTAACTTTCATTTCCGGGATTTCCTAGCCATCTCCCATCCAAATACTAACCAGGTCCAACCGTGCTTAGCTTTTAGAGAGCAGTCAGTCTGTGCCAACAAGCAAGGTGAGAAGAAATTCCACAAGACTGAAATATTTGCTCTTGGTCCAAAAAGAACACATAGCCTTCCCCAAACCCTCCAGCGGTGCTGCACAATTGCACCATGCAAGGGCACAATCCTAGTATCTCAAGGAGGTACACCACCAGTGGAGAAAGGCAATAAGCTATCCCTCCTCTCTCCTCACCATCCCTTGCCACTCTCTACCTGCACACCTTTTAGGGGCTCTCCAGGGTCAGGAACATCTGCACCAAAGGGTACATCACATGTGCTACAGATGGAACACAAACCAAAATGTCTGTAGTGCATGCAATCTACCCTCTGCAACAAATCTTCCTGAGCCCAGAGAGCCTGCCAAACGGTTCATACGAAGCTACGCAGCTGCTATTCCTGAGATCTCTAACTTCATGCTACAGGAACTCACCATCACGAGACATGCCAACCCTCAGACACTTCTTGAAGCGACACTGCTGGCAACGATTCCGGTTGATGCGGACGATGCTGCAGGTCTCATTTTTCAGGCACTTTTTGTACTGGATGTTCTGCTGAATGCTGCGCCGGAAGAAACCCTGCAGTAGGGAGGAGAGGCACAGGCATCTTAGCCTGGATGGTGAACAGCTATATCTGATTGCAAATTCTTAAGGTGTGTGTTTTCAATACAGTTCTCTGAAATTATAAGGCAGAGCACGACTGCAACTGCTTTTGGCATGAAAATTCCCAAGTGTATTCTCTTTCATGCAACAATTCTGTTACAAGTTTAGCTCTAGAAAAAAGGGGAATAACCTCAATAGCTTATAAATGTCTAGAGCAGCGTTTCTCAACCTTGGCAACTTTAAGAGACGTGGACTTCAACTCCCAGAATTCCCCATGCTGGCTGCTAAGGTTGAGAAACACTGGTCTAGAGTGTAAATCTGACAGGAGAAAAGAACTGTATTTGTTGTTTACCTGCACAAAGTCTGATACATAAAGTTTTTTCTCCACAGTAACTGCAAGTAACAGCCTCTAAAAACACATTGTATTGCTTTCGTATTAAAATATTTTTGTACAGCTGAGGCAGGATTGACTGCAGAGGAATCTTATGCTCTGCTTGCTTAGGTGCCCATCAGTATCTAAGGCATTCTTACAGCCATGCCATCTAGATGTGCTGGCAACTTTCATTATCCCCAAGTAACATGGCTTGGAATGGCACCTAGATGGGGAGTCTCAAGCAGTCAACTCAGGCAGTTCTACCAGAAGAGTAGGTAAGTAATCAAATCACACAATAGATCCTTGATGTCATTAAGAGCAGTAGGATAGGCAGATCTGATCTCCTGAGCATGATATACTCAACAATGCTACTGTGCTCACATGCTGGTCTCATTCATGTCAAAGACTTGTGAAGGTGATATTCCCGGTAGATTCATTCATATTGAAAAGGGGTATGTATATTTTTTCCTTGCCCATAGTACTGAAAAATCTTGAGTGTGTTGAGGTAACCGCCTTCCAACACTTTATGCCAAGTAAATTCTGAAGTCCAACATGTTTCTATTCTTGCATATGCACAAAGAAGTTTACCTTGCAGCCTTCGCAAGCGTGGACACCATAATGGAAGCCAGAGGCAACATCTCCACAAACTTTACATAGAAGGACCATCCCATTGAGTTCTGAGGGGGAGAGAGAGAGAGAGAAAGGCTATGAGATCCCTTGCTTGAAGACTGGATTCATAGCTCTACAGCTTCAGCCTCTTCAACATTGGTGAGCTTTCAAAGCATTGAATGCACACAGCTGGTTTTGAGGAACCCAGCTGGAATCAATGTTGTTAGAAAGGCAGCACTGATACAAACTGAAGTACCTGAATCCCAAAGTAAAACAGTCTGCCAAAAGAGTCGGTAGTTGGTGGAACTGCAAAACCCACAACTACCCTTTGAGATGTGGTCATCTCAGCACTCCCTCTCAAATCCATGCTCACCTCAGTATCCTCAATCTGATCCCATCCCCCAAAGCGCAGCTTCCCAGCTCATCACTCACTCGTGATGCTGCTGCTGGTGCTTTTGACAGGGGAGACACGCCTCCCATCATCCAAGGCCACTTGGAGTCCCACTGGAGAACCTCCAGAGTTGTAAGAAGACGAGGAAGATGAAGATGACAATGATGATGGGGAGGCATCATCACGAAGCCCAGCTGAGCCACCCCCATAGAGACGCCCAGAATCCTGCACCAGAGATCCAGTAGGTGAAGGTGGGAAATAGCTGGGAAAGGTTGGATGTGAAGACAGTTGGCAGCTGCCACTCAAATTGTCACTGCCACACAGAGAGATGGGGCTGGTGCGGCTTGGGGAAGATCCATTAGAGCCAATGTAACTGATCACACCACCTGCATAAAGGAAAAAAAAAAGGAATCTATGATAAGGATCTGTCCTACCCCAGAGCACTTGCATAATCTCCCAATTGCTTGTTTCTATCAGGTAACTGGATGTCATTCTAATATGCCATCTAGATGAAGCTTGAATAATTTTTAACTATCTTAAAAAATAGGATGGATTTTTAGATTTTCCAAGTTAAGGTGGTCTTTCTTACCTGGCACCTCAAAATGTGCTGGAACTGCATTTCCCAGCACTCCAGCCCTACTGGCTGGAAAATCTGGAAGGTCCATTCCTGCACATCAGGAGAGCACCCGGTTAAGGAAGAGTGATCAGATTTTACAAATGCAGAAGACAGATTAAAGGAGAAAGAGAAGAAATAGAAGCACCTTGCCAAATGCAGATCTTTACCTTGGAAAAACACTACTAAAACAGAGCACAATAAGAGATATGTGTACATTTCTGAATGTAGTTGAGAAAAGGAAATGTTTCATTTAGTCCCCAGGTTAAGAATGCCCGGTTTAAGGATGAGTCATAGTTAAGAACAGAGCCTATTGTAGCAAAATGAGTTAAATACACAATGATTCGAGGTAAATATACAATGGTTTGAGTTCATCACACAATACCACTTGTACAGTATTATACAATAATACTGTTCTGGCTTACACATAAATTCAACTTAAAGAAAGATTTGGGAATGGAACTCGTTCTTAAACTGGGGACAACCTGTACTAACGGAGAGGCAATGTGGTTCAAGAAATGCTTAGTGGGCAAATAGCTGAAGACTTAGCAAGCTGCTATGGGTAACAATACAAAGCCTCCCACATACATCAGAGGATTGACCTGGGATAAAATTGCTTCCCTATTCCATGTACAGCTAGCAATCTCTGAACAGGAACAGAACCACATCTACTGAGTCATATATGTAAGGCAAGAACCCCATGAGAATACTTTACATTCTATCTCAGCCAGATGAAAGAATGTTCAGAGGACTTACATATCCATCATTCAAGGATGCTTTAGTTACAAGATTCTTGCAAGTAAACAGAAATTTAGACTAGTTGGCCTCCAGGATCCTTCCCAACTCTAAATTTCTGAGAGTTTTCCCTTGCTCTTCAACCACTGAATCAATTGTTCAGAAGCATATTATCCCAGAACACAGAAGCGCCTTTAGTTATCAAGGGTAATCATCTCTAGCTAGTGTGATACTTTAAGAAAGGTACGTCTCCTCTCATCACCAGCAACTACAATATTCATTTCTTTCCTATATACCTCTCACTCCATTCCAGAGACAGCTATTTGTGTGAATCATCATATACATACATACATACATATACATCAATACCAAAAAAAGTGGTAATTAGTAAATCAGTTCACAGTATGGATGTGCAAGTTGCATAAGATGTGATAGAGAAGTGCATGGGAACACAGGATCCATGTTCTAGAAGGCATATGCAGAAACTGGACTGGACTGGAGTACAACTATCCTATTGTGAATAAACTAGGAGTAAGAAAACAAAGCAGCCCAGTGTATGGAAACTATCTGGATGGCAGACTTCTCTTCCCAAACACATCTGGAAAAAACTTTATAAAGTCTATTTCCTAGCTGCAAACTGTGAAATCGTTTCACCAAAATTATTTCTTTTGCCATCCAAATCTGCTTTTTTTAAGATATTGACCTATATGTTAGGGCTACAAATGGGGGGAAAAATAAGGGAAGAGATGAAGCAAATAACTGATACCAGTGAAACAAGCAGCCAAAAACTCACTGAAAAACAGGTAGAAGCCAAAATAAGTATTTCTTTAAAATAATTCATCACATCCAAAAGACCGATTAAATTGAGAACCTGGTGATTAAAAAAATACTCAAGGCTTTAAAACTGGGCCACTTGCCAGGAGGCAAGTAGTGCTGCCAGGGATTCTTGGAGCAACAAAAACAAAATCATCAATGCCAGAGGGAATATAAACAAGATCACATGGAATAAGCACATTCAGTGCCCAGGTAGACTTTTGACAACAAGCCAGCCTTGGCTGGGGCTCCCTAGCTTTATCTCTACCAGCTCTGTTATTGGGTGCAGCCCAAGAGCTGTGACTACTGGCTTAGGAGAAGCTGGAACAATACCAGTCAGGATGGCAATCTGAAAGCAATCCCCTTTGCCAACAGGGAAGAGGATGGGCATGAATTAATTCAGCCTTTCCCAAACTGATGTCTTAGCTGGGACTCCTGGGGTTTGCAGTCCCAACATATCTGAAATGCATCAAGTTTGAGAAGGCTGAATTGCTACAATCCGCTATTCGTGCTCAGCTGCCCTACGCAGCCATCTCATCCTATCAAAAAGGTTAAGATGTCACCAGCCTCAAGCAAGACAAGATCTCCTAGCCAAGGTCTTCTACCCTTGTGCTACCCTGCTTTTGTTATCATAATGAGAAATATGTATCACCCCCACTGCCCCCACAAAATATTTTCCATCCAAAATTGGGGCTAATGAAGAATCATTCTCCGGAAGAAAAAAATCTTCTTTAATGCTTTGTTGCAAAAAGAAAAACATGCCCACACATCCCTTAGTAGTTGCGTCTCTATTTATTTTGTGTACTGCCTGCATTTTGGAGTTTCGTGAATTTGAAACACCCACACCCCCCAGTTCTATAAGCTCATTCCAGGCATTCCCCCCCAAAAAGAGGAGATATTCTCTTATATCCCCACCCACCCACTGGATAGCAAAGATCTATAGTAACTATGCTCTAATCCTCAGTGCACTTGGAAACTGGCTTCCTGTTCCTGTTGAGATTGTTCCTTCTAGTCTAGATCCTAATCAACAGGGAAGATCAGGATGGGGGAGCCACAACTGGGGTAATGTCCCCAACTCCATTCATTTATTTCCAGAACTCCCTTACCTTACAAGGGACTTTTTCTCCACATTGTATGAGCCAGAGGTAACCTGTTTGTACACTAATTCCCTGGCAGGTTCTGCAGGGTTGAGATTTGAATTAGGGTAAGTGGGGGAAATGAGAGGGCTATTTATCCATCTGCAGCTGCAGAAAATAAAAACAGCAACCTAAGTGTCAACTGGAATCTGAAGGCTGAAAAACAGGTGGGTGGGCTTATGGGTGATATTCCTTACCAGAAAAAAAGCTGATTACTGCAGCCACAGGAAGTTCACACTAGCTTTAAAGACAACAGCTGTTCCAGAAGCAACTTCACTATTCCTAGCCTAATACCATGAGGCACTGAATTAGTCTGGAACTTTATCAGTCTCTGAATCTAAGCATAATGACCAGCAGAGTTACCAAGGACAAACAAGGATACAGGTAATTCAAGCAAACACCGTGTTTTAAACTAGGAATTGCTGGGCTGCAGAGGCCTGGAAAGCAGCCGAGTCCATTGACTGGTTAAGACAAACATCTTCATCATCTTGTCTCTGATTTGAATATACTGTAGCTACTGCAAAATCATAGGCACAACGGCCTTTTCTTCTCTGCTCCTGGCCTCTCCTTTACAACACCCTTCCTTCTCCATTTTTAACAGGCAAGCAGCAGAGTTTGCAACCGTGCCAGATGAGACCATGAAGGGTGGAGCAGGGAATCCTAGTGGAGGAAGGTATGCACATGTGCAGCTGTCCCTCCCAGGATTATTAAAACAGACCATCCCAGGTGAGTCATAGAGAATAAATAATGCTTGAAGGCACAAGACAGCACTGAAAGTTACGAGCAGATCAAGCTGGAGGGCTTCCAAATGGGTCCACAGAAGGGAAAGATGTGTCATGTCTGTTTGTAATATATGTCACTAGTCCTCAGTCTTCCAGGGAAGAGACTTGAGAGTGGCTGGAGACACATGTTGGAGCATTGCCCACATGTGGTCTTAGATACAAAACTAGAGGTTGTCCATTTGTTCACTTCATGAGGATAAAGCCAGTATGAATTAGACTCAATGGAAAGCTTACAATAAAATTGCATAGAACTCTTTATAGCCAAACAATATCACAATGTATGTGCAGGCAGGGGGGAATTTGATCACTTATTAAAACAGATTACTATATATCTGATCTGTTATGATACATGAAGGATCCCTTCTGTGAGATGGAGTGAATATTAAACTGGTGCTGATCTTGTGACAAAGAACAGGCTCAACTTCACAGTTGCAAAAAATAGCAGAGTTAACATCTGCAGAAAAGGTGTTTGCTATTACACTGAACCAAGATGTTTATTCTTAATCCAAAACTAAAGCATCTGATTTACAAACCACTTTCACAAGGAAACCCTAAACGTTAAACATAAACATAGTAATCCTAAACATGTCCAATTATTTGGGGTGTGGACCTCCCCAAGCCCAGTGGGTTTAGCTCTAAAGAAATTTACAACCCTATAGTATTGGTAACTGAGGAAATCCCCCTCCACAACGACCCTGTTTCTCTTGTACAGGAAACATCAGATCATAGTATAACAAATGATAACACTGTTACCTTAAAACAAATGCAACTGCGGGATTAAAAAAAAGTTTAAGACAGTCTTGCATCAAGTTCAGCTACTGGCAGCTGTGTTCATAGTTTTCTTGCCAGCTTTACAGTAGCTAATCAGTGCCTTCTTCCAAGATCTGTAAGAGTGTGTGTGTTTTAACTTCCCAATCCAGCCTACAGTCCAGGTAATTCCTGGTGGCCTCTTATCCAATCAATCAAGATTAGCTAGGCTGCCATCTGGTGAGGCTATTGGTGAGGACAGGGAATATTCTCATTCAGAACAAAACGGAGAGGCACCATGAGAATATAAGAGGTTCAAGGACTGGGATTCTCACATTACTTAATTTTTAGTTCATCTCAGGCACATCCCAAGATGCGGAAAACAGGCAGGTTCCACTCACCCAGTTGGTATTCGGACAGGCCTCATGACTTATCCAAAATTTTCATATCCCCAAAAGATCTACAGCCGTTCCTCGCTCAGAGTTTAATGATTAGGAACCACGATAATAAGGTTGGCAGGTCGGACAGCTCTTCTCAACGTGTCCCGTTCGCACATGGTCTCCTCCTCTCTTTCTCAGCCCCGCCCCTCACGCTTTGCCCTTCCCCTCATCCCCCTATTGGTTCCGATTCCTCCTCCACCCACTAGCGAATTCCACCCTGAACGCCCGCCCAGGAGGGAGGAGACAGAACACTGTTGCTTCCTGAATGATGACGTTACACAGAGGCGTGGCTAAATATTTAATTGAGGCGAGACCGACCAATGGGTGGCGGGGGCGGGGCCGGTAAGGAAAACAAACTTTGCACGTGGCTGAGCCAGGCAAGAGGACACGTGAGACCCTCACTGGGGGAATCCCAAAACGGGTGGGATTCCAGAGGGGAACAATGCGATTTCAACCGTTGAGGGGGGAAAGGATCCCTGGAGCGATATGTCAGGAAGGAAACTCTGAAGGGCCATGCACATAGCTGGGAGAGAGATTTCAGATTTCCTGACTCTCTCAGACGAGATTTCATTGAAAAATAATCGTGAGGCTCTACGGGAAAGCAAAACAGCACCCTTCTCCTCCGAACTGCCCTCATCCGCCACCTGCCCCTCAGTTCAAAGGACAAGGGAGGGCGTCGCCTGCGACTATTAGTGGCCCAAGTCCTTGGATCTACCCTTTCCGCTCCGCAAGAGGAGGTTGATCTCCTCCCTTGAAACTGATACCTAAACTCTTACTCCCCTTTCTACCGATCCCCAAAGAGGGAGCTATAGTGCACGATTGGCAAATTAATCGTTTTTAACCGGGAGATGGGAACAGGATAAAAGAAGATCTAAGCGAAGTGCCCCCTGACTTTCCTCCCAGTTCCCAAACTCACAGTCCTCGGCGGGGTGGCGGCTGAGAAAGGACCCTTTCTCCTGTGTATAGTTTATGCGACTAAGAAGCAAACTTCTTCATACATAACCGCGCTATTTGGGGCGGTGAGACCCCTGCCCACTCCTCCAGCTTATGCTAAAACGCAGACTCCGGCTAGCCAGGCTGCTGGCGCACAAGCCAACACGTATCACAGATAACACGGCTGACCTCTACGCCCGGACTTTACCCTACAGAAAAGAGTATCAAGGGTACGTGTGCAGGTGAGAAGGGTCAAATGACCGGTTTTCTCAATGCAGGAAAGATAAATCTGTGTGGGAATTCGATGATGAAAAGCAGGGGCTTACCTGGGGTATTGTTATTATCATCCAAAGTTGCCATCCTGTTCAGCTGACAGCTGTCATTCATATCAAGCGACGATGCAAGATGAGATTCGCTTGGTGAGGAGGGAGGAAAGCAAAGAGCTGCTCTCTTCTCCTCCTCTTTCTTCTTTCCCCCCCCCGAAGTTATGTTGCAATACAAAAAAACATCAGCTTGCACGGGGTGATGGTGATTTGCTTCTTTAAGTTTCGTATTTTGCACCGAGACTCAGACAGGAAAGAACTGGAGCTTGGCTACGCATGCAAAGATTCTCACGCCAGCCGGGAGCTCGATTATGCCGCTGCCTCTCCCTTCGCCTGCAAAATGTTAATCTGCCAACGCTCACTCTCTCCCTGCAGCTGCGCAGACACCAGCACGCGGCTCAGGAACATCCACCATGTGACTCCTAGGGAGAGCCTCGTGTCCCAGTGACACACTTTCTACTGCTGCTGCTGCAGCAACAGCAGGCACATTGCACTGGGCTTCTTTACAGCGCTTGAACGCAAGGCTTGCAGGGAGTTGTAGTTTTCCCGTACAGTTTTTTGCGCCTGCGCAGCTTTTGTTCATGCTGCGCAGCTTTTGTTCGTGCTGCGAGCAGTGACTTTGCTTATTATTTTTCTCGCGCGCCGGCTTGGCCGGAGAAATCAAAGTCGTTGAACCTTAAGCATACACACGGTGAAAAGAGGGAGTATCTGTGAAAAACGTGATGCTTTAACGTGCTGTTTGGTAAGAAACTCCCCACATATCCCTCAATCACAACTGTCTGCCAATGTAGGGCTTGGCAAAAGATCGTGCAGAAATGAAAAAAGGGGATTTTTTTTTTCAGAATAAGAGTGCGTTTTCTCTAGGACGGTCATTGTTTACGTTTTCTCCGGAGCTTTTGCTCCTCATAGTAGCAAACCTCAACCTATTTTGAAAAATCAGTCGTGCTTTTTGGAAATCTTTTTGATCACTGTTCGCACGGATATCCAGTAGATTTGTGCTGCCGGCCATGCTGTCAAACGAATGCTCAAAGGGGATGGGGTTTGCACCTCCATCGCTCTTAACTCTTAAACAGATTTGAGCATTGTATAGTCCTCCAGAAATTGTTGAATTCCAAATCTCGTCAGTACTCCCCGGTTGGCCAATGATGAGGGATGATGAGAGTGGCAGTCCAACAACTAGAGGTCTGCATGTCCGCCCCTCCTCTAGGTAGCAGCACTGTGACCTCCAGATGTTTTGTATTTCACATGTCCTAAATCCTGGCTAATATAACTAATGATAAGTAATGGTAGAGGGGAGGAGTTTATTATGGACATCAAATGCTGCGTTATGCTAGTTTGGCTAGTCTGAAAGTAGTTTTTAGGATGATCTCTGCAGGGATTTATCCATAAATCTAAAGACAGAAGCCAGGACTGAGATGGGTGCTTAGCCTCAGAGCAAGCTAGGTTGTATGGAATTTTCAAACTGTTCCTTATCGCAAGCTAAGCAGCTGTTTCCTTTGCAAAGCAGTCTTTTCTTATTTGCATGCAAAAGTTGTTCCCCCCCACCCTCCCTGGGCCACATCACTGTTCTAAAAGCCACTTCCCCCAACTTGGTGCCCTCCAGATGTGCTAGTGAAGGGATGTTGGGAGTTGAAGCTCAGCATATCTGAAGGATACCAACTTCCCCCTTTTTTTTAATGGAGGTGGAGGGGCTATTTTATCATCTCTGGTGTGCTGTGATACAGTGGTAGCCAACCTAACAGCACCCAGATGCTTTTGACCTGGCTAATGTGAAGGGCATGTAAGAATTGTAGTTCAAAATACCTGTAGCTTGCCTACCCCCACTGTAAGGAGTTCCATGCATTCTGCTCAAGAGTCTCACTAACTGCCATGTGGCTTATGTAGCAACACACAGTAGGCTGCATTCCTGCATTCAGATTTAGGTCCCATATTGTAATCAGCTCTTCCTTAAGGGATGTTACTCACTCTGCTGAGACGTGGGAGAGTCTAGAGCGATTGCTGAGTAAGAGAAGGCACGCACTGTGAAACAATGTGTGCTGTAGTTGTGGTTCAAAAGAATGCATGCCACTGAAGACAGGGGAAACCAGTGGTTTGTTGTTATCTGCCCACTCTGGTTCCCTTTTAGTACAGACCAGTTGAACTAGAATAAATACATTTTCCAAAAGCATGCTTTAGACAGCACCTACTATGAAAGTGTGACTTGTGGAAAGTAGCACAGTTCCCAACTGTTTTCTACAGGCATATGCATCACCATGATACTTACTATTTATATAGCTCGCTTTAAATATTCATAGTGTCTCCCATACAATAGTTGAGTGGCCTCATTGCAAGACAGGACAGTGTCATGGCAGCAGGGAATCTGAACATGTAAAGACATGCCCAAAGACATCTAGACATACTGTATATTAGTTGAAATTTGAAGAAGAGGATTTTTCAGAAGAGATGACAATCTGAGCCAAAATGGTAAGACATCATTTACAGCAGCCATCTCCAACCTGGTGTCCTCCGGGTGTGTTGAGACTGCAACTTCCAGAATTCCCTTAATTCTACGAATAGTAATACTCTAAAAGGCATCAGATTGAAAAAGAATGATCTCATAGAGTAAAATTCGGGAAGTTAACTCAGCAATCACACACCTGATTGGGAAAGAGCTGCATGTATCGATATGTCTATGTCGAGGCACAGGTGGGGCGCCATTGGCCCAAATCATGGTGTCATAGCATAACAGAGCATTCTTCCAATATGACAGGGCAATATTGACCAAGTGTCTGGTAATTAAACTGCCTGTAAATTTTGGGAACTCCCTATCCACAGAAGTTCAACAAAGATTTAATCAGAAGATGGAACTACCTTAACCATTGCATATTCCAAAATATAAGGTTACAAGATGTTTGCTGCAATAACCAGCTTAGCTTCATATGTCATCTAAACCTGGAGGGCCCACTAGATTTGAGCCACAAAAATCTGGATGACCATTAGATGGCAGTAAAGAGTTAGAGTTTTCTGTATCTCTTTGTGCCTTCTAGTGGTTGTTTGGATTTTTGAACCCCAGTTCTGGTAGTCCTACTTGTGGGGATTTTAGAAACCAGAATTTTAACTAAGATGTGTTGTAGGTTACAAGTTCTGATCTCTCTGAACCCAAAATAGTGACCAACCCAAGTTTGGAGAACATGTTAAGACTAAAACTAATTTAAGGGTTATGCCCATCTCAGTATGACACATTTGACCTTTAAAATATTATACAGTTTGGGATTAGGTGGCCTTTAATTTGTTTCTAACCAGTTATTTGTATATTATAATTTATGGTTCATCATAATATGTGAATCCAGGCTATGTTCACTCAGAATGTTAAACCGTATTTTCACTATAGTTTATTAAAAATCAGAGATGTCTAGGTTTACATAACATTCCAAGCCACAAGGAAGCAAACCACATTTTGAGTATCTCATTGTATAAACCAAGCCATAAATTCTGGTTTCACTATAAATCCAAATTAGAAGCAGCCTAAAGAGTTGTTAACAATCTAAGAGTTAAGAGACGAGATTTGAAGTGCACGGCTGTGAAATACAAACAAAGGTATGGCCTGGGGCATACACTGTATTAAATCATGGTTTATTAATGGCTTATTGGTGGGTTCACTTGACACATTAAGCCATCAACCACAATTTACAAATCACAATGACTGGGTTTTCACAATGTACTGTGTACCTAACCTAGCTTACTGTGTACTACAAGTGATTATGGATTAGTGTGATGTGTGAATCCAAACAAGGGGTTTTGCGTGAAATGTATTTGTTTCAAATCATTATTTAAATGTTGCATTTGGTAAACTGGCTATAGAATCTAACACAGGATTAACCTACTATTAGAATCTAGATCTCTGGAAATCATGATAATCCAATCACAATTTAATATATGTGAAAACCTCTCTTAAGCAACTGTTTGGGGCTGGCGCTGGTTCTCAAACTCTTCTGCACACTACCTGCCCGGAAGATGTATTAACATGGAAGATGCAACCTGTGATGCAGACTGCTCCTTGGTTCACAAAGCCATGAACATTATTTATTACAATTATTTATATCCTATCATTCCAGGTAACAAATTTCCCAAATATATGTAATATCAAATAATAATACAGTGGTACCTCAGGTTACGAATTTAATCCGTTCCGTGACTCTGGTCGCAACCCAATTTGGTCGCAAGTCGAGGTAAAGTTTCCCATAAGGTTCAATGTAAATACGGTTAATCCGT